AGGAAACAAATATGGGTCAAACCAAAGAACAAAACTAACCCAGAAAAAATACCTTAATTTAACAGATAAGCAACCTACCTGACAAAGACTTCAAAATAATAATCATAAAATTGCTCACTGTACTGCAGATGAACATGAAACTTTAAGAGACAGAAAATATAAAAAAGGACCAAAACAGAAATTATAACTGAACTGGAAAACACACTAGAGGGGTTCAACAGCAAACTGGATGAAGTAGAAGTAAAAATCAGTGAGTAGGAAGAGAAAGCAATGAAACACCCAGACAGAGCAGCAAAATAAAAATAAAAAAGAATTTTAAAAAGAGAAACTACCTCAGGAGACCTCTGTGACAACATCAAGTGGAATAATATCCACATTATAAGGGTCCCAAAAGGAGAAGAGAGAAAGGGCCAGAATAGTTATTTAAAGGAAAAATGGAAAAATTTCCCTAATCTTGGAACGGAAACAGACACCCACGTAAAAGAAGCCCAGAGTTCCAAACAAGATGAAACCATAAAGAACCACACCAAAACACATAATTAAAATGTTAAAGTTGCCCTAGCTGGTTTGACTCAGTGGATAAGAGCATCGGCTTGTGGACTGAAGGGTCCCGGGTTCGATTCCAGTCAAGGACACAGGCCTGGGTTGTGGGCTCAATCCCCAGTAGGGGGCATGCAAGAGGCAGCTGATCAATGATTCTTATCATTGATATTTCTCTTTCTCCCTCTCCCTTTCTCTCTGAAATCAATTTAAAAAAATTTTTTAAATGTTAAAGTTAAGGATAAAGAGAATCTTAAGAGCATCAACAGATAAACAACTTATTACATACTAGAGGCCTGGTGCACGAAATTTTTGCACTGGGGGGAGGGGGGGGAAGGGATCCCTCAGCCTGGCCTGCATCCTCTTGCAGTCTGGCCCGACTCGCTTCTTACCGCTCGCTGCAGCAGAGGCAGGAGAGGCTCCCACCACTCAGCTGTGCTCACCAACTGTGAGCCCGGCTTCTGGCTGAGCAGTCCTCCTGCTGTGGGAATGCACTGACCACCAGGAGGCAGCTTCTACACTGGTGGTCAGTGCGTGTCATAGCGACCGGTCATTCTGCTGGTCATTCCGCCATTCGGTCACTTTGCATATTAGGGTTTTATTATATTGGAAGGATAAGGCAAACCCCATAAGGCTATCAGATTTTTTTTCAGCAAATCTCTATAGGCCAGAAGGGAGTGCCATAACATATTCAAAGTGCTGTTAGAAAAAAATTTCCAACCAAGAATTCTCTACCTACAAGGTTAACATTAACATCTGAAAGAGAGATCAAGAGTATTCTAGATAAGCAAAAGCTTAAAGAGTTCATCACCATTAAACCAATCTTACAAGAAATGTTAAATGAACTTTTCTAAGCTAAAAAGAAAAGGCACTAATTAATAAAAAAACAAACACTCTTGAAAAGTTAAAATACATACACACTTGAAAAGGTAAATATACAGTAAATGTATCAGATCAATCATATATAAAGCAAATATCCAGGTTAAAAGACAAAACAAGTGAAAGTAAATAAAATTACAACTAAGGAAAAGATAAACATAGAAAATGTGTTGTCAAGAATATAAAATGGGCAGAGGAGTAAAAATGTAAACCTTGGGAATGTGTTCAAAAGTAAGTTGCTATTAACTTAAAAAAAAGACTATTGAATGCCTAGGATGCTGTTCGAGGCTATCAGACTGCAGAACGAGGTTTGACCCATTACACACGGGTTATGGGTGGACCACCAGCTTCTCTGTGGAGACACCGCAACTTGGACATCCATACCAGGACATATGCCCTTGAAATTAACACTAAAGAAACTGTAAACTATCTGCTTTAGGGATCTGGTAAATTGCAGGGGCTTACAATGTGGGCTGGGGAAATGTGTACAATCAGAATCATGCTTACCCAGTTAAGCTGATTATAGATAACTTGAATGACTTGGATATTTCAGCCTATAGGCCAAAAAATTGGCTAAGACAGGATTTAGGAGATGTCACAGGACAAGATCCCCTAGGCCACTGTCACCACCAGGCAAGTCAAAGTAGGATATAAGGGAATGATTGCCTGGGTGAAAGAGATTAAACACTCTGTACACGCCCTAAATAAAAGCGACTGTTACACTTGTGTGGCAGTAAGGTGAGAAACCCAAGTGGTCCCATTTCCATTCGGATGGACCGGATGGACCTCAGACCGTAACGGGATGGAATATATGCTTGCCCTGTATCAGAAGGAAACCGCCTGGGGAAACGCTCCTGTAAGACTCTCTCCCTGTTGTTCCCATTCAACAGAGGTAAAGAGCAAGGACCCCCCAAAATGATCCAGCCCTGTCCTCTGACATAAACTATACCTCCTACCTCTCAAGAGGGGGGAGGGGGGAGCGCGCATGGGGAACAGTACTCAGAGTTTATGGGGAATTTATCCGGATGCGTAAATGGCCGAGTATCCTCAGAAGCCCATCATGTTGCATGCCGAAACCCCGTGCTGATGTCTGGTGGTGTTATGGGGGACCCTGACTTGTGGCCTTGCCCAGCAAATGGAGTGGAACTGCGCTCTGATACAACTGGCTATCCCTTTCACGTTGGCATATCATAAACCTTTTTCAATGGACAGACTAGGAAGAGGAGAGAGAGTCTGGGGGGACGGGAGCTCCTTTGATCCCCATATACACACAGATCCCACTGGGGTTCCATGAGGAGGGCCAAAGAGTTTAAGGCTAGAAATCAGGTTCTCGGGGGAAAAAGGGTGTGGGGGGTGCGGGAAGAGACTGGACAAAAATCGTACACCTATGGATGAGGACCGTGGGGGCGGGTAAGGGCAGAGGGTGGGGTGGGAATTGGGTGGAGGGGAGTTTTGGGGGGGAAAAGGAGGAACTGTAATAATCTGAACAATGAAGATTTATTTTAAAAAATATGTATTTTAAAAATAAAAATAAAAAGATATATGCACCCCTATGCTTGTCACAGCATTATTTCCAATAGCTAAGAAATGGACACAACCAAAATGTCCACTGATGGGTGAATGAATAAAGATGTCACATACACATAATAAAGTACTACTGAGCCATAAAAGGGAATGAGATCTTGCCATTTGTGGCACTATGAATGGACCCTGAGGGTATAATGTAAGCAAAATAAGCCAGGAATGGACCCTGAGGGTATAATGTAAGCAAAATAAGGCAGGAAGAGAAAGACAAATAAAAGTGACTTCACTCATGTGAAATCTTTTAGAAACCAAACCAATTGAGCAAAAAAAAAAAAAAACAACACAAAATCTCATAGATACACATAACATATTGGTGGTTGCACAGTGAGCGAAAGGAGGAAAGTGGTCAATTGTATGGAGAAGATAGTAACTAGACTTTTACTAGTAGAGATGATCACTTTGTAGTAGCTATAAATATCAAAATATAATGGTGTACACCTGCAACTTATGTAACAGGAAAAAATAATTAAAACAGCAAAACAAGAGCATGTCAGATGAGAAAACAACATGTATTGAAATGTGGAGGTAAGAATAAAGCTATGTAAAACAGACATAATTTAAGACATATGCAAAAGAAAATACTTGGTAGAATGAGGCCAGATTGTGGGAAGTCTTTGAAATCATAGAGAAAAGAAAAATATTGTGGAAACAATTAGGGTTTTGATGAGGAAATTATTTAGAATCTGGGCAAGGTAATTCATGTATCAAAAAATTCATCAACTCTACCCAGTAAATGACATCTGAAAATAAATCTAGATAAACATCAAGCGATTAATCAAATTAATCATAATTTTATAATATAGTTATATAATTATACAAATTATAAATAATTTGGCGTGGCTCAGGGGTTAAGCATTAACCTACAGTGATGGCGAACCTTTTGAGCTCGGCATGTCAGAATTTTGAAAAACCCTAACTTAACCCTAACCGGTTTGCTCAATGGCTAACAATACTTCCTGCAGACTCAGTGAGTGCCTATTAGAAGGGCAGCAAGGCCCCACTGGCTTGGTTCAGTGGTTGAGTGTCCTATGAGCCAGGAGGTGATGGTTCAATTCCTGGTCAGGCCATATGCCCAGGTTGCGACTCGATGTAGGGCATGCAGAAGGCAGTTGATCAATTATTCTCTCTCATCATTGATCTCTCTCTCTCTCTTTCTCTCTCCCTTCCTCTCTGAAATCAATAAAAATATATTAGTTAAATAAATTATAAATAATTTATACCAAGACATTTCTTGTCTAAATATTTAGCAGAGTACATAAAAACACACTAAAATTTCTGCCAAAGAACTATAGCTATTTATTGAGCAATTTATATCCACATGTATAATCTCAATCAATTCTTGTAACAACCCTCCAAAGTCTATACTGTGATAAGTCTTTTTTAAATCATTCTTAAAAACCTCAAATAACTTGCCCAAGTCAAACAGTAATGATAAGCAGCAGAATCAAAACTTAAGCAACCAGGTATGTTTAAAGCCAAAATCTAAAATCTTCTTATCACTTTCTCAAAAGTAGGTATTTTTTAAAGATTGTACAACCTCTTTATATAAGGTTTCTGTATCCTAAAAAGCCTTTGTCTGGCAAGGAGTGGATCTGAAAGTGATAAAGCAACTATAGATCAGGTGTGTCTAGCTTGAAGATACTTATTTTTTCAGAAAATCTCCAAGGAACTATGGAAATCCATAGAACAGATTTAGAAATCTACATAAAGGAAATGTCTGTTCTCAACAAAGCTCTACAAGATTATATAAAACTTACCTCAGTGTATGATTTCTTGGTTATGTGAACATTCTTAGCTCTATAGGATTGACGTCTTCTTTTATAATCCCTCACTTCTGCCAAGATTTCAAGGTAAGATTTTGGACTTTTTCGACTATTATCTAATAAAAAATAAAATTATTACATCCTTAGAAAAATTTACATTCTTAAAAATTAACAGGAACACCACAATCACATTTTAACATGTTTCAAACTATGTTAAAAATATTCTAAAAATTCTACATTATATAAATGGGCTAAGTTTTATACCATTCCTTTTCTCCAGTCATCAGTTGAACATAAAACTGTTTAGGTACATAGATTACAGCAACAGCACAGCTGTAACATTCTCACAGAAGGATGCTTTGCTTAATGTAAAATCAGAGAGCAAACTTTCACTACTGAATAAACATCTTTTATACGTGAATATCAGATGACACAAAACCATCTTATTCTTTTTTTTATATATATATATTTTTTATTGATTTTTTACAGAAAGGAAGGGAGAGAGATAGAGAGTCAGAAACATCGATGAGAGAGAAACATCGATCAGCCGCCTCCTGCACATCTCCCACTGGGGATGTGCCCGCAACCCAGGTATGTGCCCTTGACCGGAATCGAACCCGGGACCCTTCAGTCCGCAGGCCGACGCTCTATCCACTGAGCCAAACCGGTTTCGGCAACCATCTTATTCTTAAAACGGCCTGATAAAATGATATATCTTAATAACAGCAAAGAATGGAATAACTATTAAGAAATATAAAACTATGATATTCATCTCAAACCTTGATTGACTTTTGCAGCCAAGTCTACAAAGAGATCACTGTCATTTTCGATAATTTGAGAATCAGAGCGCTTTTTCTTTGTCTCCTCAATTACAAAATCATAGAGAGCAAGACGATCAGCTTGGGTCAGATCACAAACAAATCGTTTGTGATTCAGAGGAACTTCGACAGGTAATGAAGAATAAATCCCTAAAGTAAAAATAAAACCACAAAAATAAAAATACATGAAGCATTGTGGACTTAAGATTTACTACTTATCTATAAACATGCACTATAGTAATGCAGTATGAACACAAATTTTTTTCATAGTATGCCTAAATTACAAAATATCAATCTATATAACAAATGATAAAACAATGACTTTATCCTGAATGCTACATTCACATACAGGATATACTGTGGATATTCGCTCTTCTCTCCAACAATGTTAAAACAGATCCCATGAAGGCAGGCAGTAATTATCATAAGACAATGTTCATAAGAAAACCTTTTGGTTAACAATTTTTCAAAGGCTACCCACGCTATAAAAGTAGGTATTAACTTCCTTTCTGTGCATATGTTTTTTTCCATAAAAGCTGATGGGGAGAGACTTTTAATAGGTAATACATATTATAATTCCATTGAAAATAAATTATAGAAATATGAAAAATGTATTTAAAATGTCCTTTTTATATAAGACATCAAGCTACTCATTCCACATTAACAATATATCACATTTGTGTAATGACTCAGAGCTACGGACCAAAAACAATTAAGTAGCAGAAATCCCACACTTCCTCAGACCAGAGAAAGACAGGTTACATTGAGACTAAACTTGTTTTAATTTTCTGAAAAGGAAGCATATTGGCTTAACCAAGTTAACTGAAAAAAGTTAACAGCAGTGCCCCCACAACAGTTACAGAACTTTCTAAAATCTGCTCATTAATGAAAAAGAGTAAATACAATACCTTGATATGATGTATTAAACTTTGAAGAAAAATTTTGTTTTGAGAATCAAATTTTCTCAAAGAAATAAAAAATTATTGTAACTGTAAATAAAGCAATTTAAAACGATAGTCCCAGACTCATTATTCACTAATGCAAAGAACATGAGCTACCAAATAAACCCTTTTAATGTTTGCTAGGTTACCCTATAGTAATAACTCTGGTTCATAGAACAATATAAAATTAGTAGCTCTTCCCTGATACTTATATTTGATACTAGCTTTGCTGACTTCCTAAGACACACACACACAAAAAAAAATCAAATAAAAGCATACTATAAACTAAGCATCGCAACACAGACACAAAAGATTTCTTTATATTTGTCTACAAATTAAGAGAATAGCTACACTGAATAAAGTCTGTGGTCTAACAGCTATAGATAACTTAAATGTGCAAGTCAAAGGATTTTGAATTAGTGGGGAAGAAAGGTTTCCTTTGAAGTCAATCAATTTTACTCCAGTTCTGATAGACACTAGGAAAAGCGCTTATGTGCAGCCAGATGTTAAAACATTTAAAAAATGAGTTTGCTTTGATAAACCTAATTCCTTTGAATATAGGCTACAAAGTCTGGAAGAAAAATTAGAAAAGATTAGAAAACACTAATGTTCAGTCATGCTCCACTTAATGAGGGGAATATGTTCTGAGAAATGTGAAAAATGTGTCGTTAAGCAATTCCATTGTTGTGGGACTATCACAGAGTACACAAACCTAGATGGTATATCCTACTACACACCTAGGCTTTGTGGTATAGCCTATTGCTCCTAGGCTACAGGCCTGCACAGCATGTTATTATTGTACTAAATACTGCAGGCAACTGTAACTCAATGGTATTTGTGTATCTAAACATGGCTAAACCTTTAAAAGGTAGAATAAAAATACTGTGTAAAAGATCAAGTGTGTGTGGGCGTGTGGCTTGCGGGGGGGGGTGGGGGAGTCGGGAAGGGTTGTGGAGGGAGAGAGAGTAGACATCAGAAGGAGGGAAAGAAGGGAGAAATAGAAGGGGAGAGCAGAAGCAGAGATCAAAAGAGACACAGATAAAACTTAAAATGAGAATAAAAGGGGGAAGACAGGAGAAGGAAAGAGAGGGCCCTTGACAGAAAGAGTGAGAGACAGAGATGGGGGGAGGGCAGAGAATTGGGAGGAAAGAGAGACAAAGAGAAACAGACAGAGGGAAGGAAAGTGAGTTTATGAGCTTTAGTGTGTGTTAATGTGTGTGCAGGGGTGGGTGCCAGGGGGTGGGGGCAGGGAGCTATTGGGCTCCCCTCCTTCACCAACTCTAGGCCCCAGGCAGGGGCAGGGTGCAGGCAAGGAGACAACATGCCAAGCCTCCTTGTCTATTTAAACCACCCAGACAGAACTAGCAGTAAATTCAACATCCTAGTTGGGTCCAGCCTTTTCTTTAAATATCACAAACTTTTGCTTATAACCCATTATAATCTTATGAACCACCATGGTATATGCAGATCACTGCATACCAAAACATGCATAACTGCAGTGCATGACTGTGTTATAAACAAGCTCCACATAAATCTTTGCCTGTTATTTTTCAAACAAAGAAATATAATTTCCTCTTTGAAATATATTGGAGTTTTCTTTATTCATCTTAAATTTCTATATGAAGATTGATACTTAAATTCTTTGAAAATTCAACTAAAATTCCAAATCAAGACTGTAATACTGTGACAGTGACTAAGATAAAGTTTAGAAATTTGAATGATACTTTTAAAAGGATATCATTTGCAAAAAGGATACTGCATATCTTTAAATAAGGAGTACATTCAGGTTCCTAATTCCTCTTTATACTCACCCCAATTACTGAAAAAGAAAAAGTACAGGAAAAGTTAAACAATAAACTGCATTCAAATTATTCAGAACATAAATATTTCTGAGAAAAAATAAAGGGTAAACACACTTACATAAGTTTACATTTCCATAAAATGTAAATTTTCTAACACAAGTTTCTATGCTTTAGATAGAGTGCACTTCAATGTGCTGTAATCATACCAATTCTGTGAACTTCTACTTTTCTGTATAATAGTTTTTAATTGTGGTAAAACATACGTAACATAAAATTTACCATTTTAACCATCTTTAAAGTGTACAGTTCATTGCCATTAGTATATTCACACTGCTGTGCAACCATCACTTCTTTCCATCTCCAGAGCTTTTCATCACCCTGAACTGACACTCTAATCTACTTTTTAGTAACTCTAATTCTCAATTCTTCTTTGTTAGTCACTTTTGCCATCATAGGGCATCTTAAACATATGAAATACTATACTATTTATTAACAAGAGGTACTATTTCTGAGATACATATTTAGAATTTTAGAGAGAATTCAGAGTCAACTTCTTAACATTAGAGATAAATTACAGCTCACAGAAGCAAAATGACTTGCCAAAGTTTCACAAGTGGTAGGAACAGATTAGCTTTAGAACTACTCTATTTCTATCTCTTTAGGGTTTGTTAGCCATAGTACCCTGATCTTCAAATCACGGTCATGACTCATGCCAAAATCTGTGGATGTTCAAGTCTCTTATATAAAATGGTGTAGCACAATACATCCCTGGATTCCCAACTGTGGATCAAAAATACTATTTTGGTATCCTCCTCAGATGCCAAAACCATGGATGCAAAACCCACAAATACAGAGGACCAACCGTATTTATTGAAAGAAATCCACATATAAGTGGACCTATGCGTTCAAACCTATGTTGTTCAAAGATCAACTGTATGTCATGAAATTTAAGTATAACAACTTGAATCTTTAATACAGAAGGAAAAAGATAAGCCACTAAATATAAAATGATTGTTTATGATTGAAGTTAATATCTTGGTTACAAAATTAACCAAAGTAACTATATCTAAAAATAAGTAAGTAGATCTAATGGTTATTTAAGCTTTCAGGAAGATTAATGAATAGAGACCTAATAAGACTGATAAAATGAAAACATAAATATATAACCGTACCAAAAAAAACTTAAAATTTAGTGAATAACAAAAAAATAATAATTACATGAAAAAATGTAAAATTGTTCATGTGAGTCGTCTTCCCTCAAAATAAACACATAAAAAAAAAGATATTAAAGAGATTTTTGTCCTGGAGTAAAATGTTTAGGTATAAGTAAACTACAAAAATAATCTCTGTTGAGGAAATGCAGAACTCTACACAAGATGAAAAATAGTTTTAAAAAGAGGGTTATAGATCATATAAAAATAGTTCTTAACAGTTAAATCTTAATTTAAGCTAGTACAAAAATTCAAAATCAAATAAAATGTCCTCTTAATGTACTGAAAGAAGTATTCATTCAAAGTGATTATTTGTTTTTATAAAAAACTAACCTCAATGTCCAAATCTGCCTTATTACTCTTATATAAAAACCTCAGATTAGAAAATGATCTAGAAAATTAGTCTTATATACCTATATGAGTAATTACACATATATATAATTCTCACCCATTTCATCTTAATATTGCTTTCTATTGTTCTAAACAACAAATAGGAGATAGTTTTATATTACAGATAAGAAAGTAAACTCAGAAAAGGTGTCATTTGTATGAGGCCAAGCAACTAGTTTATTTCTTTAAAATAGGCTCACCCAAATGAACAGTATTAATAGTAATATTATGTACGGATTTGAAGTTTGTGACATTCTTTTAATTAATCATGATAGACATAATAAATAATGAATATATTTGAGCAATTATGTAGAATCCACAAATATCACTAAATGTAGAGTGTTTGGGCCAAAATTCAGAACTTGGCTCTGGATCCAGCTTTGCTATTATCTAGCAAAGGAGTGTCAATTCAGTTATGTGTGCCTCTACTTCTTCACCTACTATGGAGGGGAAAATACTCATCCAACCTATCACAAGTTTATTGTGAAGGAGTAATAAAATATATAACAGGGCTTTGGAAACAATCTCTTAAAAGTATTAAGGACCTTTAGAACAAAGACACCAGAACCTCATCATCTCTATCAGTCAGGGTTTGTTTCCTTTTCAGTAAAAAGCAGACACTAGCTTAGATGATCTCCAAGTTCTTGTTAAACTCTAATAAATTCAGTAAATCTATCTAACTAGGTAAGGTCAAATAAAGTCTTTTAACAATTAACACCTCAAAAAAATCCTCTACTTATTAATTGGTTGATTAACAGGGACAGTGGGTAGAACCAATAATAGGGGTTCAGTAAACTCTTCAATAAGAGAAAGTCAAATGTCTCCCTCAAAGAGAAAAACCTGGAATTCAGCACAAAAGTACATAAAAACAGGAGCTTCAAAACAGGAAATACAATGTGCTTCTGCTGTTATAGGAAACAATGTAATGCAGACTAAAGGTAAGGGACTTCCTCCTTCCGAAGCTACAGGGCACTTAGGGAGAAATCGAGCCCAGATATTGGCTTAGAAAAATGGGCTAAGACCCTGAACTTAACAAGAAAAAAAACAAACCGTAATAATGGGCTGGTGAATATAATTCAGAAGAGTGAGGAAAGAAAGGTAAGATGTCTGGGGAAAGCTACCTTCAGAAGGTTCAAAAAACAACTCAAATCCTTATAAAAAGGAGCCATTCATGTTTAGCTTAGATGTTTTATCTAGGTTCAAAATCTATTAAATCTTTTTTTTAATATATTTTATTGATTTTTTACAGAGAGGAAGGGAGAGGGATAGAGAGTCAGAAACATCGATGAGAGGGAAACATCTATCAGCTGCCTCCTGCACATCTCCTACTGGGGATGTGCCCGCAACCAAGGTACATGCCCCTGACCAGAATCGAACCTGGGACCCTTCAGTCCACAGGCCGACACTCTGTCCACTGAGCCAAACCGGTTAGGGCTCAAAATCTATTAAATCTATTTACTCCTTTACCTTCTATGTTTTTGATGGATTAAGTTTTCTTTCAATTTCCTAGAAGCTCACACTTAAAAATTCTAACTTAGTCTCTGCTGACATAAGCCCCAGAAAGAAACTCTTAATCCAGCTCCAAAACTGGGCATAAAAGGATCCACAAACCCTCTGAAATTGTACGTAATACTTTGCATTTTATTTTGAGGGGCAGCTGTGGGAACTAATCTCTTTTAGCCTAAGACTTTCCTTTTATGTTCATTTCAGTATTACATTTAACAATGGACTAATCCTAAAGAGAGGAAATCTCAGGGTAAAACAGTCTCACTAAATGGGATTTATTAACTAAATAATCATAATTTTAAAAATGATCTATAAGGCCATCTAATCTATTAGGAAATTCCAAAGCATGAAGTCCTAAGACAGTGTCCTAGTCAGACTTGTGTATTTGAGCAGAAAATATCTAACAAATAAAGCTGACACCAAGCACAGTAGTCTAATATGTAAAACTTAACCTTTCCGATATAATTGTTTTCACAAGATTTTTCTTAAAAATTAGTAACATGTGTGCTTGTGGGAGAAAAATAGTTTTATTCATTATTTAGCTCAAACTATGATGCCACTTACTTTGATTATAATAGTCACCATCTTTTCCAACTGCAGTTCTAGCTTGTTTAATTATCTGGAATTGTGAGTCCTTATCTGTCAAAAAAAATCCAAACACAATATGAATCATCAGTGTCCATGATTAGATTATTAACTGGTTCCAATCCAAGTTCTTTAGACACACAAACCTTTAAAATCTTAAGAGAGGCAACGCCCCCAATCACTGCCTAGGTCAGTGGTTCTCAACCTTCCTAATGCCGTGACCCTTTAATACAGTTCCTCATGTTGTGGTGACCCCCAATTTCATTGTTACAAATTGAACATAATTAAAGCATAGTGATTAATTACAAAAACAATATGTAATTATATGTGTGTTTTCCGATGGTCTAAGGCGACCCCTGTGAAAGGGTCATTCGACCCCCAAAGGGGTCGCGACCCACAGGTTGAGAACCACTGGCCTAGGTAATCTGAAAGCAGAAATTCTTTCAGATCTAGCTAGATCCTAGTAAGTAACCAGAGTTCAGGTGGTTCAGAAAACATAATGAGGCACAAATCAGTAGCCGCTACAAATTTTAGCAACAAATAATATGTAACATTTCTTGAATCCCACTGTGTCAAGCACTATTCTAAGAATATTACATGTATCATTTAATCTTCATAAAAGTGCAAATACCCTGCCCTAGCTCGTTTGGCTCAGTGAACAGAGTGTCGGCCTGCAGACTGAAGGGTCCCAGGTTCAATTCTGATCAAGGGCACGTGCCTGGGTTGTGGGCTTGATCCCCAGTAGGGGGTGTGCAGGAGGCAGCCGATCAATGATTCTCTCTTATCATTGATGTTTCTCTCTCTCCCTCTCCCTTCCTTTCTGAAATCAATAAAAATACATTTTTTAAAAAGTGCAAATACCATCATTCCCATTTTATAAAGAAATTGGACAACAAACAGGTTAATTACCTTGCTGAAAGTTACACATCTGTTAGTGACAAAACCAGGAGCTGAATCAGGGCCTTCTATTTTAGAGCCCAAGATTTCAACCTCTTAAAACAGCGGTCACCAACCGGTAGCCCACAGACCACTGGTGGTCCATGAGGTCCGAAAGGTTGGTGACTGCTGTCTTAGAACACATTTCCATCTTCAGTCCTGTCTTCAAACTGTGTTGAGTGGACAGATTTTTGTTATAACTAAGAAAAAAGGTGTCTGTCCTACTGTACAAAGCTTTCCAGGATTTTCACTTACTATTAATATAACAGGCCTGGTCTCTAACTTTCAGATTACAAAAACTAGTTTCACTATACATTAATCAATCCTACATTCTCTTAAGGTAAAAATGTCCTTAATCATAAGCATACTTATAAAGTCCATTCTTTTGATAATTAAAAAATGAATTATCAATACATACATATAGTAAGATATTTTAAAAATTATAATCTACTAATACTTACTCAAAGTGATTGAAGGTATCTTCAGATTCTCATAGAAAAATTCAGAATTATACATTTTATCCTAAACAGTAAAAAGACAAACAAAAAAAGTCAGTATTCTTGAGAATCAGATGATTAACTATTTTAAGATTTGACATAAACCAATAATAGATTAGTATCACTGAAATATCTCTTGCAATGATTTGTGAAATTAGGTTAGTACCATTCTATCCCACAAATGAGTATTATTTCATGTCAGAAAACCTCACCCTATACTTCCATATATTGTGAATTTATTAATGCATGAATTATATGACACACGCATACCTCTTCTTCTTTGGTGTAGCCCAGTTTCCTCAATCTACATGATACCATGTGCTTTGCTAAAGATGATTTAGGCATGTGATGATTGAAATCATAAGGACATACCACAACTTCATCCTATAAAAACCAAACAGAATCAAAGGAAAAAGGTACATAATATTTAAAGATTTAAATAATTATACCATGAAATGTTTACTACTTTATAAAGTGGTACTATCCAGTTATGTCCTCTTCTGCAGGCCTCTCCCAACACCCTGCTTGAGTTTATGTGCATATTAAAACTTTTTAAAAGCCCCAGCCAATCATTCCACACACCAGAAGGTTGGGTGTTCGATTCCCAATCAGGGCACATACCTAGGTTGCAGGTTCAATCCCCAGTTGGAAGTTGGGGTGTGTATGGGAGGCAACCAACCCAACCAATTCATTCATTCTTTCTCTCTCTCTCTCTCTCTCTCTCTCTCTCTCTCTCTCCTCCCTCTCCTTACCCTCCCTCCTTCCCTCCCCCCTTTCTCGCCCCCTCTCTTCCTCTTTCCTTCCTCCTCTCTCTCTAAAACCAATAAACATATCCTCAGGTGAGAATACAAAATAAATAAATTTTAAAAATTAAAAACCTTTCCCTATAGCCTTTGCCCCCTCTCCACCTTATCAAAGCCCAACTCGGAAAGATCTGTTCACATTCACTGCCTCAACAACCTCACCCATCAATCAGAAGGTCACTAACAACCTTCTGGCTACTATAGCCAAAGCACATATCATAGTCCTTATTAATATTTGAATGCTTAGAAGGTCACAAACCAATTGTCTATTTCTGTCATCTTGATACACTTTTCATGGTCCTTCTGCTTCTCTGGTTCCTTCTACCTGGTCTCCTCTAAAGATGTCTGCCTTGTTCTACCTGTCCCCCTTTCTTTTCTTTTTTTTTTCCAGAGGGAACTTATATACCTGGGCTACACATACATTTTTTTTTTTTTACTTAATTTCCAACTCCCAACCTCCACTTCTTTGGCAACTATCAGCTAGTTCTGTATATCTGAGTCTGTTTCTGTTCTGTTTGGCTTATTCATTTGTTTTGGTTTTTTTAGATTCCACATATAAATCAGAAGGTATTCATCTTTCTCTGTGTGAATTATTTCACGTAGCACAATTTCTTCAAGGTCCATCCACGTTGTCCCAAGTGGCAGGATTTCCTTCCTTTTTATTGCTGAGTAATATTCCATTGTATGTATGTACCACTCACTACCTGTCCCCCTTTAAATGCTGGTGTTTCATGCCAGTCTAACCACGGGTGGCCTTTGCCATTTGATACATACTTACTAGAAGAACTCATGGCTTCAACTTTCACTATATAGGGATGACTCCCAAAATCTACAGCTAGTTTAAACCTTGTTTCTCTCTTGAGCACTTTACACTAAAGATACTAAATTTCAACATGACCAAAAATAAATTCATTATATTCATGGTTTCCTGATCCCAAATCTGTTCATCTTGTGTTTTCCTATTTCAGTAAAAAGGTCCTACTTGCTCAAGCAGATAACTGCCTCTTCTCCCACATCATCCACATCTAATCAACCACCTATCTATCCTTGCTACTCCTAAATAACTCTGAAATCCCTGAACATAATCCATCCATTTTACCACTTCCCCAATTCAGGATATCATGGATTACAAGAGCCATTACCTAACTACTTGCTCCACTTCCAGTCATTTTTTTTTTTTTTTACTTTTTTACTGAATTTACTGGAGTGACATTGGTTAGTAAAATTACATAGGTTTCAGGCATACAATTCTATAATACACCATCTGTATACTGTATTATGTGTTCACCACAGGTCAAGTCTCCTTCCATCACTCTTTATCCCCCGCAAGCCCTCTTGGGTCTGCCCACACCGCCCTCCGCTTCCAGGCTTGCTGTCCATTCCATTCCTCACACTACGGCTAGTCTGAATCCCAGGTCTGCCTTTACTGACCGTATTAAGTTACTCGAGATTTTTAACCTCTTTTTGCTTCCGTTTCCTCATCTATAAAATGGGTACAATAGCAGTGCCTCTCTCACAAAGCTACGGTGAAGATTAAGTTATACATGAGTTTATATGCATACGGCAATTCAAACGTGGCCTAGTACACAGCAAGTGTTCAATAAGTGGAAGCAATTAACATGTTATTAAAAGGTAGATATTAATTACGACATGCCCAGACTCAAAATGCTCCCCTGCCTCCCCCACTGCCCTCACTAAAAAAGATGTGCATAGGTTCTTTGAAATGGCCGGCCCAGACCCCTACCCACCATCCTTAGAACACCCTCCCTCCCGCCAGGCCTTTTGGAAAATCACAAGTGGTCGCTAACACACTTGCCTGCATTTTCTCAAACAACGCTCACGTACAGCAGGGCTGCTAGCCACCCTCTCTCGGGGATGCCCTTCGTCATTCCAGGCTCGGCGCTCTCCCGGCCGGAGGTGGACAGTTTGGGCAGAGAAAGGCGAACCGAGACCCAAGCTCTCCCGGCTCGGAGTCTGGTGCCCCCGCGCATCCGTGCGGCAGGACGAAG